TTCCCAAGCCCCTAACCATGCTAAAATGGGGACATGGTTAAACTATTTGTTAAAATTGTTTACCATATACCTACTTGAACCATGTTCATGTATTGCCAAATGAACAAACCCCCAAATCAATGGAAGAAAATCATTGGAAGGGGGACACATTTCTTAGTTGGACCTCTTTTGGCTTTAAGCCAGAGCCTTTTCTGCTCTCCAGCCCTCCACCACCTTGAGTCGGGGAATTTCACAGACAGTTGCCAATCCTGGGCTTTACCCATTTGGCTGAGGAGGCTACTCACTCTGGACATCAATGTGCAATGAAACACTTCCTGGCTCAGACTTCCAGGGGAATGCTTGCTGTTTTAGTGCCATGATTTTGTTCTCAAGCAAAAAGAGGCAGTGAAGGATTTTACTATCCAAGAAGGCAAAAGAAACTCAGTCTCCTTCCACAGAAACTACTGTCAAGTGTTAGTGATCCTACTCGATACATCTGTGCACTTGATAAATATCAAGGACAATGTACATAAAGCCTAGAAACATAGTTATGGTGACAATGATGATGAGGTCATGTTTCTAGACTTTATGAACACCCTGCATATTTATTGTCTTTCACCCCTTCCCTGGAAAACATAATTCATCTTTCTCTTTATCAGATAGACATCGGCAGTCAGCAGAACTTCCCCCTTTTACCAGAAAAGAAAACAAAAACATAAAAAAGAAACCTTATTTGGAATGGAAATATCCCCACTGCATTGTCAGCAATGAGTGGGATACTATTTATTACTAAACATCTAAATTTATCATCCTTGAAGAATGCTGAGAAAGGAAGAAATGCCTTCCTGGGTGGTTAAAGAATGTGTGGGTTCTGAGAACAGCCTGGAAAGCCGTCAATGCCTAAGAGGCTGAAATCACGCATCACAGTATCTGTGATAGATTGTGGGCACACATAACCAATAATGGCTCTCTGCAGGAGGGACCCTCATTTCTTCTCAAAGAGTATAAATGACTATTCAGGTCTTGAGGCTCCAACAATACAGGTGTTCATGAAAGGCAATCATCAGAAAGGTCAACACAATAGTCAATGTCCATTTTTTCCTGTGTTCAGAAATCCAGTCTAATCTAACCCGTGTGGCAAACTGTCAACCTCTGAGCTTCCCATATTTACATATATTCTATTGCTTGACCTTCAGCATCTTTAGGTGAATACAGACACCAAAAACCAGTCACAGAAGAGGTTTGCATTAGTAGACTAATTTTCTGCATTATTAAGCCATTACTCTAATCTTCATTAAAGATAAAACTTTATCTTTAAACCTAGATGTGAGTTTCTGCCAGATTCCCCAAGGTTAATGATAAATTGAAACAATGTCATTAATCTGTGGTATGGGACATGGAGATGCTGGTGGTGAGGAGAGGGGCAGGTGCACAGAAGAGGTCTAATCTCTCATAAGGCCATTTGTCCTGCCACAGCAGGACACGGAAGACTTCACATCTCTTCCCGATACACCCCATTTGAGATCTAAGCAAAGGAAAGTGGTGGGTTACTTCTGATTCAGAACTAACCAGCCATTTCCCCTCATTCAACCACCACATGCCAGAGTTACGCACACTCTTCACTCTCCACTGCTGCGTAGTTGCCGACTTCTTTGAAGCTGATGTTTCCTAGGTGGAGAACTCCCGCCACTATCTGCAACACCAGCGTTTGCTCTTCTGCGAAGATCCCGATCACATTCATTGCATGCTGGGAGAGGAAAGAGAAATTATCCAGACAAGCCGGCCATCAGCTTTATAAGCCAGTAATAAAGAAGCCAAAGCATAGATTGGATTGTGCAGTTATGTGCGGTTTAGCTTGAGATGGCAGCTGGAAGTCCCCGAACAATGTGATCACTGGCCAATGCATACATTCTTCTCAAGTCTCAAAGTTGTGCTGGAAGGGCAGTTCTATATTTAAATTTAGCATGTTATCCTCCAAAAACAAGGGCCAGAGAGCTCCGGGAGGAAAGATACTCAGAGAAGCTGTAGCCACATACAGGGCTGCAAGCCTGCCCTTGTCTCTTGGTGTGTTCTTGTTGCCAACTCTCTCCCTCTAATGGCACTGCTCTGCTCTTTCCAGCTATTGCAAGTAGACTCAGGACATCTTTCCCTTCACTGGGAGGGATGAGAATTGATTGTACTTGTAAAAGGATCTTGATTAAAAATCAACAGGAAATTGAATAAAGGCATTATTAAAAAGGCTAGTTGTGGAGGTCCATTAAATTCATTAAAAATAGCTGAAATGTTTGCCTTAGCTCTCGGAATCCTAAGAGAATTACACTGTAGGACCAGCATGCAGGCCCTTTATCTGCACTTGTTCTCCCAGCTCCTTTGATGCCATGTGGCCTCTTGATACCATCTTATTGTCCAGGCACCAGGACACAGTCTGTCTGAACTCCTGTCCCTTTCAAGTACAAATGTCAGCTCCACTCAAACTGAATCTCCCTGGCTCATTCAGGGTTTCCCACTCAGTTCTGAATGGGCGGAGGGACAGGACCGGCTTGTAGCTGACTCAAAGCACAGTGGTAATGCAGTCCTTTGCGGCTAAATGGGGTTTACCCCTAGAAAGTTCTAGATTGACTAATTTAAATTGTTTTCCCCAGGATGCTACCCCTCAATAATCTACCTAGTTTCACAACTTGTATTGCAACATACATACAATGTGGACCTCATGGAGTAGAAGGACCGTATTCGGATCTGTACAATACACAGGTAGAGAGAAAGTCCTCAAAAACAGAAAAGAAATGAAGAGGGTGGAGAAAAGACTAAAGGTGTTCCAAAATTTCTAAACCTAATTAAGATCGTAACTGTGCTGTTTGCTTAGCTGTCCTAAGGAAACAGCTCATCAACTGTGTAGGCCGTCAGCACACAGGAATGCTAAATGTATTTCCCACAATAGTTTTTGCCTGATTGTCAGGGCTTCTGTAGGGAGACAATGATGAATTCAGTTTGTTGACCCATCTTGAATCCTTAAGTGGTCCTCAGGCAATTGGGAATATGGCTATTTAAGGGTGCTGAAACATGTGCTTTAGGATATGGAGTGCTTACAGCAGAACGAGGTGGAAATTCCATGCTGCTCTGTTAACCTTGGCCACCCTTTCTAGCACAGGCAATGCCCGTTCTGGAGAGCACATCCTGCCTGGCCCTGAGCCAGCACTTACCAGAGTTTCCTGAAACTCCCGCCTGTCGTCAATGTCATCAACCTTGTAAGACCCGGAGAGGCTCAGGTAGTAATAGTAGTCCATGCTGGTGATGCCAAGGCTATGCTTCTGCTCTGCGGAGGCACCTTCAATGAGCTGGAGCAAGAGAAGGTGGGATGTGCCATGATGTGGACCACAAAGCACCCAGTCACCTCTCAGCTCCTGCCACCACCATCCCTGAGCTCAGGCCATGAGAACCTTCTACCCCTGCTTCCTGAAATTATGGGTGCTCCTAGTCTACAATATATGAAGGGGCTTCCAAATATCTGCTCAACTTGTAGTAGCCCCAAATCATCTCTGCAGTTTCTGATTCTTAACTCTGACAAGAACTGCAAGAGCTGAGGATTTTCCCTTGTCCAACAGAGGGAACTTTACTCCTACACTTGTGATCCCTTAGAAGAGGGAAAGCAAAACCGATTATAATCACTTTGTTCCTGCCAAGCTTGCTTATGGCTTCTTAAAGTGGAGCTGGCTCCTCCATGCTTCTCAGTACAGAATGCATAGTAAAAACAGCTGTATGCCCGCTCTTGCCACATTGATTGTCTCTTGGCTTTTTGCTCCAGCTCTGAGGTCTGGCTTAGGTCTGGGCAAGATCCTTTCTAGGGCTCCAGCCAGTGTTGCACTGGAAAATGTTTGACCATCAACTCTTGGGAGAAACAAAATTGATCTGTAGTGTTTGCCAGTATTCATGGTGTAAATACTCCCACCACAACTGACTTCAAATGAGCAAAGGAATGTCACAGAAGGAAGCGGTGGGAAGGGATGCGCACAGCGTGGGCCAGCTCCAGCACCACGACTCTGACCCAATGACATTTAGAGAAACAGAGGCAGCTGCTATCCATGCTTCTCCATCATCAAGTTCCTCGTGTCATCTTGGCTCCCCTCCCTGCAACATCTCAGTAGCGGCCTCATCTCCATTTCTGAGTTCAAGTTCGAGTTCGAGTTCAAGGTCAAGTTCAAGTTCAAGGTCACCCTATGACATCAGGTGCCCTTCATTTTCTTCCCTGTGTCCTCAAAATCTTTTTGTACACCTCCTTTTTGGTCTTCTCCCCTCTCCCAGCACATGGCCCCTCTCTCCCACATCTTCAAACCTCCCTTTCTCTAACAGGCTTCATCTATAAACACACTGCTCATTCCCTTCCCTAGAAGCTTTTCCCGGACTGAACTTCGAGCCACAGTATCGACTTCCCCACCACGACTCAACCACCTGCATTTGGTTTCTCCCCTCCCCACTCTGATGAAATTCCTCTACTTTCCAGTGGCAAAGTACTTTTACCTTTCTTGGTCCCCAGACCTGGGGCCCGTCCCTGAGCATTTGACCCCATTGCTCATCCCCCTGAGGCTTCCCCTGGCTTTGGTGACACTGCAGGACCCTGAGTTTCCCGCTTCTCCTCTAACCACTTCCCTGTCAGCATCACTGGCTCCTCAGTGTCTCCTCGTCCTACACGTGGAAACCACCCCCAAGTCCTGTACGGGCATTATTTTTCCATCCACACTCACTCCTACTGGAGCCTCACCTATTTCACAGCTTCAACCACTACTTTCATGTCAGAATCTTGAACCCCTGAGCTCACCAGCTCCCAGCCTCTACCTTAGTGGTTTCTGACCTTCAGGAAGAGGACTCCTGGAGGGTGGTGGGGATTGGATTTACTGGGAAGGGTCCTGACATCCATTCTGTACTTCTGTCTAGTGCTCAACAAATAAGGCACTATGTGTGTGCCTGTGTGTGATAAACACAGTTACTTTCCATTTGTGTGTGTATGTTGCTTTGATTAATATAATTAAAAGCATTACTGAATTCACAGCTCATTTATGTATTTTTTCAACCAACAGAGATACCAATAAAAAGAATTAACCTGCCATCATTTAAGATGTCCGTGTAATCAAAAGCATGAATGTGAGCTATCACTGTTTAACTTCCTTCTAATCCAGTGACCTTCAAACTAAAAACAAAACAAGTCACCAGGCCTTTCTTCAAAGAAAATCTGATGTGGATCCCTAATGTATAAAATATTAATAAGAAAACCCAAGCATAAAACACTTGTTTATGGCATCATCATATTTTTAAAAAGTACTTAAAAACATTTTTTAAAATAGTTGAATTTGGGGCCGGCCCGGTGGCGCACTGCTACAGTGTGCCGCTTGGGAAGCGTGGCGGCGCTCCTGCCGAGGGTTCGGATCCCACATACAGACCAGTTCCCGCTCACTGGCTGAGCGAGGTGTGGGAGCAACACTGAGGGTTGCGACCCCGTTGCCGGTCCTGGCCCGGTACGGGCGCGACACTGAGGGTTGCGATCCGTTGCCGGACACGAAAAAAGACAAAAAGGAAAAAAAAAAAAGTTGAATTTGATGATTGCTAAGTCTGGAGTCCAGCTGAAAAGCACCCAGCACACTGCTCTAGCCCCAAACTTTCCATGGCTTCTGAGGGTTGAAGTGGAAACTTTTTGACTTGGTATTCAAGATCTCAAGCCTATTTCAAATCTTCTCCCCAACAGTCCACCTTTGGGGGGCATCTGCCCCTGTAAACTGGCTGAGGCCTGGCTCACTGACTGGCTTTCCCTCTCACCTTTGTCCTGGTCACCTTGTCCCTGATCAGCCCCCGCCGCTCTCTATCAGGGGCTCTGCCACCTTAATGGCTCCCCTTGCCACCCCAGCCAAATCTCCCCATGTAAATTTCTATTGGGCAAAGAACCAAACACTCCTGCTTTTGTTTTACAATTATGTCAACACTTTCCTGATTATTTTATTTTGGGGGAATTTTTGTCTTATCATTCCAATTAGAACTTATTCCCCTTGAGGGTAGAGACGGTCTCACAGGGCTGCGCACTGACTCACACATACTATTGTAACAATCCTCCTTGGCTTGTCAGCTAGACTGTCCAAAGCTGCAGGCGGAGAGAAAAGAATTTTTTTTTTTTAATGTGGAGAAAGGAATAGGAAGTAGGAAAGAAAAATCATAAAGGAAAACCTGGTAAAATATGTGAAAACTCCGCTCTCCGGGGTTCCTCATCACCACCCTAGATTTTTCCAGAAGGAAGTTGGAGATCTTTCCACCATCTGGTTCCCCACCTGGACTGAACTGGATTTCAAAGTATTTTCCCTGTAAGAAAGTTAGTGATTTCCTTCAATGGTTGGTGAAAAAAAAAAAAAAAACCATGATGTTCCAAAGAATACTGTATATAATTCAAGGAAATTCATTAAAAGACACATTCTGAATTATTCTTAATTCTGGTCTAGACTTCCTCACCTTTTTCCTATCAGACAATAACTGTGCTTTTGTCCAATCACACAATTCTGTAGAGTGAGAAAGAATCCATCATCTAGCCTGACTAAATAAGGATATGCTATATTCCTCGCCATTTTCCCCTAGGAGGTGCTTGCTTGCTGCTCAGCCGGAATGTGTAAAGAATAGGGCAGATTAAAATGCCAAGGTCACGGTTGTGATCCCCAGTACTGGCCAGCCGTCAAAAATAAAAAGAGAAAAAAGAATAAGGCAGAAGAATCACATGGTACCCTTAATCTGATGAGTGAACTCTGTCAGCTACTTCCAGAGGAAGCAAATTTTCCCTCTGGCAGACTTCAATTCATGGCTTTGGGCAAAAGTTGTCAGTCCTTTTTACCCCGGGAGCATCTAAAATGCTTATCTAAAATAAAAACACTTTATTAGAAATAAACTTCTTTCCAGCTACTTGTGGGTCTGGGGGTTTTTGTTACTGTTGTTGGTATTAATATTCCCAATTATTATTTAATTTCTGCTCATCGGAACAAAGGAGAATAAAAGCCTGGAATTTAGTTGGAAAAGGTATCCAGAATGTTAATGGTATTTTTTTTCTCACTAGAACTTAGTTTCTCTCCAGTCCTCTGAAACTTAAGCACCCTCAGGGGCCAGGAGGGTAAATTTAAATTAAGGAAAAGCATCAGGGAGTGGTGCGGCCTAAGTCCAAACTGAAGAGCGTGCCCGGCCTAACTCGTTCATACTTAATATTACAAAACCCTGCAGGCTGACTGAATGTGCGCATCTCAGGGCTGAACTCCGCTGGGCCTCAAGTCTACAACTAGAGACATGAACTCACTGAGTACAAGAAAAGTACTTTGCGTGCTCTGCAAATGTGTGAGTATTTGCTGCGTTCTTCTTAAGTTGCTTCCAGATTCCAGGTGTCAGAAAGACAACAAAAGAAGGCCACCCTCTAATTGTCTATTTGTCTTAATCTGATGACCCCTCCTCCTGAGAAAACCAAAAACAAACACCCAGAAGCACCAGACGTAGAGAACCACCAACCACGTCAGTGCATCCTGAGTGTCAGTGCATCCTGAGAAAAGCTCTCTGGACACGATCCCTCTGTGCTTCCTGTGGGGGCCACCCTTCACCACCTCTCTTTCGGCATGTTACAGAAGGAACAATTCAGTGCTGTCCCCTCACTCCCTATCAATTGGGGGAAAATGAAACCAAACAGGTCAACAAACCCAGGAATGGCAGGTGTAGTAAATGGCAAATTCCCAAGTCCTTCTAGCAGTAATTCTCAATTTTGGCTGTTAGAAACACCTGCCTGTTAGAAACACCTTGACTGTAAGAAACACCTGAGGAGTCTTTACAAAATGCCAGTGCCTGGTGCCATCCCAGACCAAGTAAATCAGATTCTCTATGGACTGACCTGTGTAGTTTCAAAAAGTACTTGGGTGACTTTTTTTATGTAGCTAAGGTTGAGAACAACTGCTCTAATGTAATCAAATGCTTATACACAGTTCAAAATTGTCATATAAAAGTAAAAACTCCTAATTGCTGTATAGCAGCCCGAGGTGGGGGTGAGTTGGGGGGGGG